AGTCAGGGTCCTTGACTTGACTGTCTTCATCTAGTTCTACCAGTAACCCACTGTGGAACTTCTATTTGATGCTTCTCTGGATGCTGGTTTCCTTGTTTGTAAAAATAAGTGGGCTGATCTAACTGATGTTTCCACCTCTTAACTTCTGAATTAGGCAACCACTTTTTATCTCCCAAGATCTGAGAAAAAATTATGGGGGAAACTGAAATGCCTCCCCCAGCTCTCCCAGGCACTGTTAGTCACTTGCTCCTCTGGGCTTCCCACAGTCTTTTGTGTGTGTATACAACACCTCTATCACAGAGTTTTTCACAAGTTGTAAGAGAGTGTATAACCTAAGGGCTGAGGTAAAGGCCGGGAGAAGAGTCAGGCTGTCTGGATTCAAATTCCGGCTCTACTCCCTACTTGCTATATAACTGTGGGCAAGTTACTTAACCTCTTTCTATGATTCCATTTCCTCAAATATAAAACAGGGCTAATACTTAGCACACCAGATGATTCTAAGAAATAAATGAAATAAAGTGTTTAGAATAATGCCTGCCACACATTAAGCACTAACAAACGCTAGTTGCTATTATTGCTGCTGTTATTAATGTCTTACTAGGCACTGAGTTGCTACTTCAGCTGGACCTCTGTCCTCCTATTCTCCAAACAGCACTCTGCTCATGCTTTCTCTCACGGCACCCAGCACGCGATAATATATTTATTTATGTATTTATTTCCTATTTCCCTACTAGACTGTAAACTCCTTAAGGGCAGGGAACATGTCTGTTTTGTTCATCCTTAAATTCCCACCACCAAACATAGTATGTGGCCCAGAAAAGACACTCAAACATTTGTTGAATAAATAGCGCACGACCTGGCACTGTTTGAGGTTTGCTGAATAAATTAACCTAGCTAAGGGGTGACAGTCAAAGCTGAGGTGTGGATGCAGATGATGTCCTATCTGCCCCAGGATCGATGTGACCCTCTCTTAGCCCCAATATTAGCCTCAGCCAAGCCCCACCCACCTGCTCTTGGCCCCAGTCCAGTTCCGGGAGCTACCCTCAGCTAAAATTAGCCACCAAGATGGCCAGGCCATTTATAGCCTCAGAGGCAGCAGCAACTAGCTGGGTGGGCAGGCAGGGTTCTGGCTTCCCACTACCATCAGGGGTTGATTGAGAAGTCAGCCTGCAGTCCGCAAACTGCCTAGATGCCTATCCTCCAAGGCCCTGTTTTGGCTATAATGAGTCACACCACAGTTACTGATCAGAGGCCCTCAGTATCTCCAACACTGGCAATCACAACCTGACTCACCTGGGATCCCCCACAAACATTCTACAGAAAACATTTTGAGTTTCTGGAAGCAATGAGCCCAGAGTGTATGGCAAGTTCCAAGCATCAGTTCCAGGCGAGCTTCAGAAAAGCAGTCCCCAGGGTAGCACTCCGAGTCACAGATCCTTACTGAGAAAATGACTTAGCACACCTGGGGGTGCAGGCATCATAGAGCCAAAAGGTGACAGGGATGGCCTCCCTACTGTGCAATGAGAGAGCCTCATAGCAGAGCATCTGCCTTCACTGCAGGAACAGGGCTTTCAGATAAACATACACACCCAACAAGAGAAAATCCAATTCTCTGGTCCCTGCAGAATATCCGGATCTCAGCTACAGTCACCAGGGCCTGCCTAAATAATTCACCAGGAAGAAAGTGACCTTCTCTTGGCCCTGCCTAGCACTCCTTTAACAAGGCAGTGCCAGAGAAGATGGAAGAAATCTAAGACCTGCCTGTAAGACTGCACAAGACCAGTTTCTTCACCTATAAAAAAGGGGATAATACCACCTGCCATGCATTCTAGTGGCGATTATGAGACCTTTACAGGGAAAATAGTGTAATTGTAAGACATAAACTGTAGAGAACAAGGGACACAAGGCTGGCTCAGTCAGTAGACATGTGTCCCTTGATCTTGGAGTCTTAGGTTCAAATCCCACACTGGGTGTATAGATTACTTAAAAAATTTTAAAACCTTAAATATGTATGTATGTATGTATGTATGTATATATATATATATATACATATATATATATACACACACATATATATATAAATTTTGGGGTGCCTAGGTGGCTCAGTAAATTAAGCATCTGACTCTTGATTTTGACTCAGGTCATGATCTCAAGGTTTGTAAGATGGAGCCCTGCATCAGGCTCTGCATTGACATTGCAGAGCCTGCCTGTGATTCTCTCTCTCCCTTTCTCTCTAACCCTCCCCTATTCATTCATTCTCTCTCTCCCTCTCTCTCCCTCTCTCTCTCTCTCTCCCTCCATCAAAATAAACATTCTAAAAAATAAATAAGAATAAACTAAAATAAAAAATAAATTGACTGGGTATGCTGAACCTGATTAGAGAAATGGCAAGTTGACAGACAAGTAAAACTGTGTGCTAAGAATACACGGGACTGGAAAAGCTAAGAGAGTGTCTGGCTGCATAGAAAGCTTCTCCTCAAATCATCTAGTAGAGTCCAGTCCATAAGCCACCTCTTTGCAAAAAATGGGTCCCAGACAGGCCAGGCCCAAGGGGGCAATCTCCTAGAACAATAGTGCTGGGGTCCCCAGACTCCCACAAACTATAACCATGTCCAGCACCTAGGGTATCTCCCTGAGACTTCCCTCCTTGGGATTCAGTATTACTGTGACAACAGAAATGAATTTCTTTTTTTTAAATGTTTATTTATAGGGGCGCCTGGGTGGCTCAGTCAGTTGAACAGCCGACTTCAGCTCAGGTCAGGATCTCACAGTCTGTAGGTTCAAGCCCTGCATCAGGCTCTGTGTTGACAGCTCAGAGCCTGGAGACTGCTTCCAATTCTATGTCTCTCTCTCTCTCTCTGCGCCTCCCCTGCTTGCTCTCTCTCTCTCTCGCTCTCAAAAAAATAAGAAATATTAAATAAATATATGTTTATTTATATTTTTAAGTTTATTTATTTATTTTGAGACAGAGAGATAGCAAGTGAGGGAAGGGCAAAGAGGAGAGAGAGAGAAAATCCCAGACAGGCTCCATACCATCAGCACAAAGCCCAGTGTGGGGCTCTATCCCAAGAACAATAAGACCATGACCTGAGCTGAAGTCAGATGCTTAAGTGACTGAGCCACCCAGGCACCCCTAATGTTTATTTATTTTTGAGAGAGAGAGGGGCAGAAAGAGAGGGAGAAATAGAATCCTAAGCATGTTCTGTGCCATCAGTGCAGAGTCCAATACAGGGCTCGAACCCATGAACCACAGGATCATGACCCAAGCCAAAATCCAGAGTCAGACACCCAGCCGACTGAGCCGCCCAGGCACACCAACAGAATCTAATTTGTGAACTGAGAGGAATCAAAGACCAAACAAGAGACCTATGTGATATAATCAGCATAGCTAGTCCTCTAAGATATGTTGTAAAGAGGGCTGTCCCCCTAAGCTCAAGTCATGGGGTGGTTCTGAGGGATGCTAGAATGCCTCTTACCTTAGGTATGCACACACACACATACATACACACACACACACACAACTTGATAGTAAGCTAATGCCTAAAATTCAAAACTGTATCCCTTTAGTCTGTGTCTAGGATATAAAACACCTCCCTCCTCAAAATACTCATTTTATGCCAGGCACTCACATTTTAGGGTGAGAAAAGACACTTTATCGGTTATAAACAGGAATGTCACTGAAACAGCAGAGATGCTCCAGTCTGATCTACATCTGCCTACTAGTCTTTCCCTTCACAACCCAAAGAAAACCAAGCTTTGAGCTACCTTTCAGGGGCCAAGGAGATGCCATGTGGAAAAAGAGGATTAATATGCAAGAAGGACCTATCTTCAAAATAACAGCCTAAGTGCTATGCTTGTACATAGGGCAATCCCCACCTCAACTGGAACCCAGCCCTTCAGATATTTGGAATCACACTCACCTGTAATCAAAGAAGTTAAAAAGGGGAATTTTCCGAGAAAGAGTCTACCACCAAAGCCAGCATCTGTATCCATCCATGAAACTTCCCAGCCACCATGACCTATGTTTCCTTTTCCTCCTTGTATCAATGGGTATCCACTGAGTAGTCTCCCCATTTAAGCTTGCCTACCCTCATCAAGAACTCAGCTATAAACGTTCCCCACACTGCAGCCCACTGCTTTGGATAGATCACAATCACAGAGTGAGAGGAATAGGAAAAGAAAACTGAATTCCTTCTAAGCCTCGTGTAAAACAACTGAATTTTACAAAAGTATTCTTTCCTTCTGCAACAGATCACCAGAGCTCCTGATATCTGACAAGTGTCCGTGATTTGCATAAGGAAAAACAGATCAAACATGTCATAGAATTCCTACTCTGATCAGTCAGAAGAAACAGAGTAAATCAACAAGTGGTCCCAGAAATTAAACCACACCTTTGATTTAAAAAAAAAAAAGGGGGGCATTTAACTCCCTAGTGGTAAGTAGGATTCTAAGGAACTACGCTGATATTTCAAATGGGATAGCTAAAAGACAGCAGATTACCTAAGGGAAGGGAGGGACTAAGCTTCCCAGCTTATTGAAACAGAAAGACACACCTCAACACCAAGCTATAGGGCAATAGAGCTGGCCCAGCCCTGACTTTCCCTGCCCAACCCAAGTAGCCTCAACCTTCCCTGTGCTGCCAAGTGCTGAAACTGGCCAAGAGCAACAGATGTATCATCTGCCCAAGCCATTCTTCCTGAAGAGTAGTCCTGAGAAGGGGACCTGATCTGAAAGGCCAAGGTGCCCCAAAGGCCAACCTCTTCTGGTTGCGGACTAAAGACATCCTGGGGAGGGAAGAGGAAAGTGGTTCATCAGAGACAGAAACATTAGCCATGGCTCCTAAACAGAAAGAACTCCTTGGGCTGCTGAGAACAGGCAGGGCCATGTGTGGGTCCTCCATCAACAGCCTATGTAGAAACCTAAGGTTCAACTTGCCCACTCAGGCATCTCGGTTCTGAGTCAACGCCCCCAAGCCCAGTCCAGCCGTGGCAAGGCCTTACCTGCTGCAGTGGACTCCTCAGAACTAGCCCCTGAGCCGGTTCCTGTACTCTTCTCGCTGTGGCTATGGCTGAGGCTCTGGCCGTGATGCAGGAGGAGCCCCCAGAGGAGCCACAGGGCAACACGGGCGCACACATCCATGACTCTAGGTCTCAGTCAACATGCGCCTGATATGGACACCTCGGGATCCCAGAGGCAAAGCCAGGAGCCCAGAAGTGTAGCCGACAGTCCTGGAACCCCAGGCAAGATGCCCTCGAGGCGCCGCAGCTGTCCAGCCACCCGCCGGCTTGCCTCCTCCGACAGCCAAAGGTCAAGTGCTCCAAGTTTGGGCGCGGGAGGAGGGCGGGTGCCTCCGGTCCAACAGTTGGTCCGCGGGAGCTGCGGCGGCCTGAGCGCCGGGTCTGCTCCGGCCGCTTCCGGAGAGTTTGGACAGGGTGGCTGCGGGGCCGCTGTCAGCACCGCAGCGGACTACACCTCTGCGGGAGGGGGGCGGACGGGCGGGATCTCCCGCGGGCACCGGAGTGGGGGAGGGAGGGAAGGAAGGGGAAGAGGGGGGCACCTGGCCTCGCCCCGCCGAGTAGCCGCGAGCAGCACAGGCTGGGAGAGGGCGTGCAACTCGCAGGTCCCCGCGGGCGCTGGCGGCTCCGGGATCCCAGGCCTCCTAGGCCGAGGTCAGCGCCCCCGCTCAGTCCCGTGCCCAGGCGGCCGGCGGTGCCCAGGTTCAGCAGGCGAACGCGCACTGGCCAGGCCCGGGACAGCGGCTCCCCGGCTGGCTGGCGGGCGGCGCGGGGCGGGCCTGGGGCGGGCGGGGGCGTGCTCTCCTGCAGGCCCGCCCCGCGCCGCCCGGCCCCCAGCGAAGCTCGGCCCGCCCCAGCGCCCGGCTTATCCCGGAATAACCTGTTGGAGGCTGCTGGCGGGTACCCCCAGCCCTCGGCGGGCGCCCCCGGCCCCCGGCCCACACTAGTCTTTCAGGACACGCCTTCCGCACCAAGCGTAGGGTCCCGACCTCCCCTTCCCTCACGGGAGTCTCTCCCGCTCTAACCGCCCGCGGTTGGGCTGGCGGGCCACCGACACGCAGTTGCTCAGGTAACCCAGGCCTGCGGCGACGGCGGCAGTAACTGCCCTGCCGGGATCTCCGGATCTCCGGATCTCCTGCTGCTCCAGTCGCCTCAGCTCTAGAGCAGGGTTGGACAGAGGCCCCCAGCACAACGATTGCAGTCCCGGGATTCGTAAAGCGACAACGGCCTGGCCCGGTTGGGCCAGGGGCACGCTCCCAGCCCCCCACCCCGGTCCGGCTTTCAGGCTCCGCCCGCCCGCCGCACCGCGCAGCCAATCAGCTTCCTCCTCTCTGCCGTTTAGGAACCTGCGCGCTTAGTCACCCGAGCGCAGCGGCCCCTGGCGGACAAATCTGGGTGCTGCTCCTGGGAGGCCCTGCCCCTTTGCAGAGGGTTGGGGAGTGAAGCAAGGACCCGCCCCGGGGCAGCCCATCAGGGACTGCGAGTGCTTTCAGAGGAAATGATGCCCAGAAAACAAAATGAAACGTACGAAACGCTATATGTAAAATTGCCCTACACATCCCTTACGTCTCGACTAAAGGACCTATCTGCCTTCCTGACCCTTCTCCCCGCCTCATCCAAACGAAGTCGGATGACCTCCCTTAACTGTCATAGCCCATTTTACTACCTGCCCTTCAAATCCCCTCCCCTTTGAGGTTTTTGTGGGTAGGGCCTGTGGCTGGTTCCTCTCTGCCTCTCACTCTTCCAGCTCCCTGTGTCGCTTGGAGGAGGTGTTAGCGACTTAGAATGAGTGCCCCAATCAAGAGAGAGCCGCGCCTGGGCCTCCTTCAACGGAGCCTGCATTTCCTGTTCTCTCTCGAGTATGCTGTCAGCAGATCTTTACTAAAACCTGCTCTGTGCCCTACCCTGTCCTTGGCACCGGAGGCAGGGGAAGGGATCAGCCCCAGGCCCTCCTCTGACTGACCGTGCTAAGCCAGCTAGCTACCTGTTCTGAGCGAGCAGTCTGAAGACCGGGAACGGGGATTTGCCCAACAACTGCCTGGCTTAAGGGTTAGGCTGTTAATATAAAAATACATGTCTAACGTCATCTACTACCACTCTCCCCCACTCTTCTTAAGCTTCAGTCGCACCGGCCTTCTTTAAAGTTCCTCAAACACACTGAACCTTCACCACCAGGCCTTTGTATCTGCTGTGGCTTCTCTCCCCTCCTACCGCTAGTTCCTGATATAGTTGTCCTCTCCTTCTTTCCACACACAGTGCAAGGTCTTCTCCTCAGAAGCTCCACTTCTGACCAGCACCTCTGGTCCAGAGTTGGTTCATACTAATGTCTGCCTTCCTCCACCCCATAAGATTGAGTTTTCAGAGGTCAGTGGAACTCTGCTTTATTCATTTCTGAGAAAGGAGGATCCAGTCAGCAGCTCTGCACATAGTAAGTGCTCAGTAAAAGCTGCTGGACATGAGTTAACTCATTTGACCACCAAAATATTTCTTGAATAACAACTCTGTGCTAGGAAATTGGCCAGAACAGAAGATGAGTCCCTGACCTAGGTTCTGTTAGACATATGCTCTGAGTCAGGGGTCTTAAGCTCCAATGGCAGATAGATAGTATAACTGAGAGAAGTAGGTAGGATAATAGGGAGGTGGGAGAGCAGGCAGGAAGGTGACGGGCTTTGAATTGCTGGAGTATTAAAAGAAGATTGAAAGCTGGACTTTTATATGACATACCTTTTTTCAGTACTAGCAATTTTTAAGTAAAAACCCTGTATAGGCCACACAAAACACATTTGTAGCATAAATTAATCACTCAGATTGCTAGTTTGTAATTTTTGCCTAAGCCAACCTGCCTGTTCACTCATTTGTCTAAGAGAACACACCAGAGAAAAAGAAAGTAAAGCATGCTTAACTTCCTTTAAATTAGACTACATTATTTCTCTTAAGTACCACATGATTTCTTTGGGAGTATGGGTGCATAACCCATTTGATACAAAAAGCTTGGGTCTTGAAGACAGGAAGTGAGGGTCTGTTACCAATTCACATCAAGAACTTGAACCTCTCAGAGCATGCTGCATTTCCTATAAGGTTAAAATGGTGTCTCGTAACTGAAAGTAGAATTAGCATTTAATCCAGCAATTCAACTTCTGAATATATACTCAAAAAAGTTGAAAGCAGTTCAAAGAGATATTTGAAACTTTAAAAAAAAATGTTTATTCATTTTGAGAGAGAGAGAGAAAGAGAGCGTGCATGAGCACACAATGTGGAGGGGCCGAGAGGGAGGGAGAGAGGGAGAATCCTGAGCAGACTCAATACTGTCAGCACAGAGCCCTAATGCGGGCTCAGTCTCACAACCAGGAGATCATGATTCAAGCCGAAATCAAAAGTCAGATGCTTAACTGATTGAGTTACACAGACGTCCCTCAAAGAGATATTTGTATAACCATGTTCATAGCCACACTATTCACAATTGCCAAAATGTAGAAGCAGTCTGAGTGTCCGTGGACAGACAAATGAATAAGCAAAATGTGGTAAATAGATAAAGTGGAATATCATTCAGCCTCAAAAAGGAAGGAAATTCTACATGCTACAACATGGATGAACCTTGAGGACATTATGCTAAGTAAAGTAAGCTGGTCACAAAAAAAAAAATACTGTATGATTCTATTTCTATAAGGTTCCTAGAGTGAAACTCAGAGGGTCAGAAAATAGGATAGTGGTTGCCAGGAGAGTATAGGGAATTGTTTAATAAATATAGTTTCAGGTTTTGAAGATGAAAAAGTGTTCTGGAGACGGGGTGCCAAACAATGTGCATGCACCTTACATGACTGAACTGTACAGTTAGAAATGGTGAAAAAGCTGGAGCACCTGGTGGCTCAGTTGGTTGAGGGTCCAACTCTTGGTTTTGGTTCTGGTCATGATCTCATGGTCTGTGGATTCAAGCCCCACATCAGGCTTCATGCTGACAGTGCAGAGCCTGCTTGGGATTTTCTCTCTCTCTCTCTCTCTCTGTCCCTGCTCTTTATCTCTCTCTCAAAATAAGTAAATAAACTTTAAAAAAAAATGTTAGAGAAGGTAAACTTTATGTTATGTGTAATTTACCACAATTAAAAATAAGAATAAATGGTATGTGGGAACCAAAGCCATGGCCTGGATAACAGGAGAAACATTTTGGTTTTCTCTCTGCCAGCAAGATCATGATGTAACATCAGAAAAGCCAGTTTCCTCTGGATCTCAGTCTCCTCTCTGCAACTATAGAATGGATAAGTACCAGATTATTAATCCAGTTTGGCTTTAATATTCTACAAAACAGGGAAATCCTGAGACCTCATGGATCTTCCTGGATCTGAAGCTGTGACTCTCACCTCAATAGCCTCCTTGTTGGGTCCTCATGTGAGTGCAGTCTCTGCAAGAACCCCTCATCACATTACGATGGAAGGAGGAACCAAAGAGGTTTTTTTTGTCCACCTCTCTGTCTTTTTCTTTTTCTTTTTTTAAAATGTTTCTTTATTTATTTGGAGAGAGGGCACATGTGCAGGGAGGAGAGAGGGAAGGAGACAGAGAATGCCAAGCAGGCTCTACACCATCAGCATAGAGCAGGATGCACGGCCTAAGCCCACAAACCACAAGATCATGACCTGAGCCGAAATCAAGAATCAGAAGCTTAACCAAGACACCCAGGTGCCCCTCTCTGTCTTTTTAAAACCTATACACTAAGCCTTTTCCATACACCCCTGTTTGCTCTTTTTGCTATCTCCTGTTTTGCTCATCTTGCCATGTCACGAAATGGGACATCAGACTCGTCTTTGGTGGTAGCAATAAAGGGGAGTAATGAAAGAGAGACTCCTACTTTGAACCCTAAGGCAGGCTGAGAGAGGGAACATCAGGGGACCAAGAGGAGCCCCACCAAGCCTGAGTCCCCTGAGCCACATCAGAGACAAAGGACAACTCAGAATTAGGGTTAATCCCAATTGCTCTTGGGGCCTTGCTCCTGATTTTGTGCAGATGTTGGTTAAATCAAATTGGATTAACAATTGTCATGCCTCTTTCACTATATGCAAGAGGTTCACATATATTATCTCATCCCTCCTTCAAAAGAGCTCTGCTCTTTAACCTCTTTTAATGCTCTTTTAACCATTAAGAAAATGAGGTTGAGGCCACCATATCAAGCTCTCTCCTTTGGGATTTTCTCTCTAGTCTTCAAGTCTCAGCTCCAGTGAAAGAAAAGCATCTATGCCTTGACCAATGATGACAGCATAGTGTGAACCAAAAGTTATGATTAGTCCAAAAAAGAAAAAAAAATACCCCTTCCCTCCTTTGGCACCTTCTCTGACTTGACCTGTGTCTCAGTCTTCTGCTATACCTTAGAGTACATATATAACTGGATTATGATTCTCTCATAAGTATCTGTCTTCCCCATTAGCTTCTGAGTTCATCAAGGACTGAATTTCATCCATATTCTCCCAGGCTAACTTTACCCAGTACATAGCCAGTACTCAATAAAAGTGTATAATAAAAGGGTGTTCTCTATGAACCGGCTGTCTTATCTCTGGCTGTCATTCCTCTACACCACAGAGTTTCTGGTTACCAATAGCTTTCATTTGGAAAGTGACAGTGTCTCCAGTAGAAGTATAATAGAGTCCTAAATCTGCCACAAAAGTTTAAATCCCTGAGTTTGGGCTGTGTTATTAGTGGCGCTCCCTGGTGTCCAAAAATGGCAAGTACAGCTATCACTGAGAAGCTGCACACAGGGTCTTAGCTGGGTAAGGA